ATTTTTTTTTTTTTGAGTTTTTTAATATATTTAATTTGTTAAATGATGTATTTTAAAAATATGATTCATTGGTTTTGTTGTATTTATTTCTTAGATTTTTTCATGATTTGTTTGGGCATTCCATTTTACATTTTGTGCGTGTCACCCAATACCGTTGCGTGATGCCATGATCGATGTGTTTTTGTATCCTCCAAGTTGATGGCTTTACTTCAACCCATAGTTATCAAAATCGTACCATTTATCATTTGATTCGTACGATTCGGCTCGATACATGTACAAAACGATCCGTATCTTATATGAGAATCGCGCCTAAATCGTATGATTCATACGATTTGATTCGTATCTCACGAACCGCACAATTTAATCACTTTTTTTTAAAATTTAAATTTTTGACAAAATGATGTCGTTTTGTCCGCTAAACAATAAAACGAAGTTATTTTGTTTACTGATGAACCCACGCCCTAAAAAAACTCGACCTCTTTGCTCGTTATCTCTCTCTGACGTCGTCTAAAGCTAGCCTTACGTTATCTAAAGTTAAAGGTCACGACTAACGCTCTCGAATCATCGATTGATTTTTGCTATCAATTCTTTTTTGAGTAGTTTGTTAGATTCTAATTTTTAGTTTCAATATGTTAGCTAGTATGTTTTCTCTCAATCAATTTTTTTATTTGTTCTTTTTTTCATTCATGTTTGTAACTTAATTTATACTGGGTGTCACTATTTTGATTCTTGAATAACCATGGTTCTTTAATGAATTTTTTTTCAAGTTGTTAAATTTAAAAATAGTTGAGCAAAAGATGAAAAAGAAACAAAAGGCTAGTGTCTTTCCTTTAGACGATGTTATTATGTCAATTGATTATTTTTAGAATATAATAATGTTCAATATTCAATATTTTGTCTATTTTAAATATGCAATATTGTTTTTTATTTTTGTTCAAATTTTGTGTCGAATTTTACGATTCACGATTTTCAAATTTAGCATTCCGATTCATGATACGAATCGCGATTTAACAACTATGCTTCAACCTTGAACAATGGTTTCCTGCAGTGTTTGAACAAATAATATGGTGCTACTTTAAAAGATGGGTTCCCTAAAGGGCCTCAAATTATGGTACAGAGGAAGCATATGACATGTTATTTCCTTCATCAAATTGGTTCCAAGTCCATTTTATGAATTTGTAGTTTTTTAGCATCTAACGGAGATTTCTGTTTGGAACCTGTAAGATTTGGAAGAAGTACAATAACGGGCTCTAGACAGTATAGACAATAGAGAACTTCAGATATTAGTATTTTGAGCATCACATATAGGAGAAGGAGAAAGCAAGCCTCTAGATTTATCTTCAATGTGCTGGATTCCCTAAATAATAAAATGATTTTTCATAAAATTTTCAGTAAAAAGTAGTAAGCTTGACACTGTGTGATGTCTCTATCTTCCCAGTTGCTTCTTGTTATCTTACGTGACTGTAAGATATGAGTGAGATGTGATGCATATTGATGATATAGTTGATTAACATTAAGGTCCATTTCCGCAACCTTAACCTCTGACTGAAGTGCAGTGAACCTAGCGTTTTCTCCATCGTGATTTAATTTAGTGTTTCTATTGAATTTTGCTTTCTCTTTCTAGGGACCTCCATTTGTCTTTGGGTTTTGGCTCTTGCTTTATCATTTGGTCAGTGTGGGTTGTATTTGTTATGAATATAATTTCTTAAAAAAAAATTCCTGCTTTTTTAAACACATGCAGAGCACGAGGAGTTGAAGTTTGCAGTTGTTGACTCCAACTGGTATGCCAAATGGGAAGCAATAACATCTTTGAATGTGAGATACAAGGAGCTATGGAATGTAGTGCATGAGTGAGTTCTTGAAATTGCCTAGTTTCCTCATGTCCATAAAAATTTCTGCTGCTATTTGTAAATTGGATCCCCTGTGTTTTTGCTAATTAATTATGAAATTTAAGCTCCTTGCCTATGTGCAATATGTTGAACACTAACAGTCTGCTTATCTGGAGTGGAACCCTAATTCTGAACTTATTTCTCTATTTCGTTGCACTACGATATATCTTTCATTTGTTATAGCTATTTTTACGTATATTCAAACCATGGATGTTACCATTGTTCTTAAAATTTGTGACAAGCTTTGAGGTTTAGTATGAAATGATTTATTGTTATCATTTCCCTCATTTCCTTAATTTCTTCCTGTAGCTAGATCTGTGTCTGACTTTGCCACTGGCCCAGTAACTTTGAGGCTTTGCTACAGATTTAAATGGTTGGGAACTACCTTTTTTTGTCTCGTAGCTCAAGGGGGTTGTCCTATCCTGCCCTTGACATTATCTGCCGAGGCGGTGTTATATGCCTATTCTTTAAACTAAGTGCCCTGTTTCATGAATTGAGGGGAAAAGAAAGAACTAATAAAATGGAAAAAGTACAAGAGTGGTTTCCTTTATGGTTTTCATTCTTCCTCTTTTTTGATTTCTTTAGCTGTCAGAATTTGAGACCCAGTTAGGGACAACCCCTGTTTCATTTGCAATTGAGACTTGTTGATTGCAGAATCAGGTATGTCAAAGTCAGAGTTCCGGTTGGATATCTCTAACTGTACAATTGGATGTGGCTAATTGTTGTGTGTGGCCTGGCCCTTTTAAGTTATGCATGAGTTGGATGATTTTTGACCACCTGTTTTCTTATATTTTGGTTCTTGGTCTGAAAAAATGTGGGAATTTTGTTGGATAATCTCTTTTTTCTGTTATTGCAATAATGTTGATTATGATTTTAGCATTCTTGTTTTCAAACTTATAACAATGAATTTTAGCTATTCTTATAGCATTGGCATGGAAAGTTATGGAGAGACTGTACCTGGACAAAGCGACGGATGGTCTCCAAAATCCTATCTGCCCAAGTATGTTAAAGAAATATTTTGTTCTTTGTTTTGTGCTGTTGGAGATGCTTTAGGTGTCAGTATGTACATAGTCTGTTGATACAGTGTTCTGAATTTAGTTAGGCATTTTCTTTCTTTCTAACCCATTCAATACGAAATTGCCGATTTGTGTCACATAATGAAATTTCTATGCAATGGGTCGGTTAATCAGGTGACCATTTGGATTGTATACCTCGGGAGAGTGATCAAAACTGATACTTCTAGTGTATTCTAATAAATTTCTACTTTTGCTAATTGTTTACATTACCTGTGATTATACTTCTTGTTTGCAACACTCTTATCACAATTTGCTTCCTAAATACTACGTACTGTGATGATTTTGAGGTTTAGTTGCAATTTTCTAGTTGATGTGAATGCTGGTATTGAAAGATGCTAATGACTTCTGTAAGAAAGACAGAAACTACATTAATAACCTACCAATGGAACTCCAGTTATGTCCGTATTGTGCTTTCTGCTGAGATTTGTGGAAGTCCAGTGTTTTTATCATTAAACATTTCCAAAGGCTTCTAGTCTGAAGTAATGTACAGATAAGTTGAAGTTAATTGCGGTTTGGGTTTGGTCTGTATTTGGCAATGTAGGATTACAAACTTAATCAACTGGTTTAAGCTTCAATATTGTGACCGTGTATGCAAAAATGCAGTCAGACATATGGATGAAGTAATTACTGTTCCATTTTGTTGATCAGTTGAAAGACTTCCCTTTGAATTGTAAACAATGAATTCTCTGTTAATTGTTACGAATTTCTGTTGAGGGTGGACAGTTGGAGTGTTGGACACCAAAGCTTTATTGATGAGTTCCACTTTTCTATGCTTTTGGCTTTAACTCCAACAATTTCAGAGCAAAATTTCTGATTGCTTTCAAGATTAAATGGATCGATCTCTGTTCTATTTGAGCTTTTTGGATATTAATCATAAGGGATCATGCTTTTGTTGCTACGGTGAAAAAAGTTGATTGCACACCAGTGCTACATGAGAATATGTTTCATTTCTGGATTCTTGTACTTATGTTTCTGAGTTTTTGCTCTTTTGTTAGTGGACTTGTTTTAGTTTACGCCCACTTTTGTTAGTTATCTGTGGTGGTAAAATTTGACTTTAGTGGAAATCAGAAGGTTTAGCTTCTGTTAACAGATCTTCAAATTTCCATAAAGATTGATCACAAGATTTTACCGCTAATTCTTTGTCAAAGTATTTCAATTTCTTGCTTTGTTCTTTTATAATGTATTCTGATTAAGGGAAAATGTTGCAGGTTTACTGATTCTTTTGAAGATGTTATTTATCCAAAAGGGGATGCTGATGCTGTTTCCATTAGTAAGAGAGATGTTGATCTACTAGAGCCAGACACATTCATCAACGATACTATTATTGACTTCTACATTAAGTAAGTTTGTTTGCATGTTTTGTTTTATTCCTATCTCAGGCATTGTTAAAAATCCAATTGCTTATTATTTGCTCATGGAGAAAGCAACGTTCATGGAGTTTGGAGACTAAGATCTCTGTTCTATAGTATTCTGTTTTTCAATCTACCAATCGAAAAAGGAAGAAAGAGAGAGAAACGTTGAAATTCTGCCTTTTGATATGGGTCATCTACCCTTTTTGATTATGATCACCTGGATTGAAACTGGAAAATTAAAAGATGACAGATTATTAACTTTGATTGGACTTTTTAAAAGATAGTATTGGTATATTTCTGTCCGGAATGGTCTATGTCAATTTCACAATGTTATTTTAATGGCAATTAAATATTGTTGATTGATTCACCTGTTTTTCAGGGTTGATAGGTTTCTAATTTTTTTCTTTTTAGTGGTTTATATTTTATAATTCACAGCATTGCTTCAATTCAATCAACATCATAATTGACGGCAGGTATTTGAAGAATGGCATTCAACCTGAAGAGAGGCACAGGTTCCACTTTTTCAACAGTTTCTTCTTTCGGAAGCTGGCTGACCTTGACAAAGATCCTTCTAGTGCTTTTGAAGGCAGGGCTGCGTTTCAGCGTGTTCGTAAATGGACAAGAAAAGTGAATTTATTTGACAAGGATTATATCTTCATTCCTGTAAATTACAAGTAAGAAATTAGAAGACCAAACCTTCGCTTCCTAGAAGATCATCTTCTTTAAGGACTGCTCTGAAATGACTTGTTTGTGCTTTTAACAACAGTTATCACTGGAGTCTGATAGTAATTTGTCATCCTGGTGAAGTGGCCAAGTTTCCAGGCAAGTTCATTTTGGATTGCAATACGTAATTTCATGAATTGTCTGGCAATCTTCATCTCACATTGTATTCTGTCATTTGTCAGATGAGGATGTAGAGAAGTCACATAAAGTACCTTGCATATTGCATATGGATTCTATCAGAGGAAGCCATACAGGCCTCAAAGGCCTCACGCAGAGGTACAGGAACAAATTGAAGATTTTTATTAGATAAAACAATTTCAACTTCTTTTTAAAAAGATGGCATTTTTGTACTTCGAAATATGAAGAATATCCAACGTAGTGTTGTCACTTACCCGAACCACTCTCTCTCAAGGAAGTCATTATTCAATGTTCTATGGTGTCCTCTAACCCGTAGGATTCCGAGTGTAAGGGAACAGCTAACTGCTTGCTGGAACTAAATAGCACCTGGCACCTGTAGTAGACTAGACATTACTAACAAATTGGGGAATGCTAAGCTAGGGGCAGGTCTCTTAGATCGTTGATGTATAACATAATTGCAGACCCACCACTTGTTCCTGGGTATAAGTGGCTTCTTTGATCTCTATCTTTCTCTCTCTCACACTCATAATGGTGAAGATACAAACCATGAAAGGAGACCACATTAGGCGTTTACATAAGTCTAATTGCTTAATCCCGGGAATCCAGAAAGCTCGCAGGATAACCCAGGGGCTACGCCACTACTGTGCCTCAAGCATCAACCTTGGGGAGGTCCCTGGACCTATACTTAACCCAAATAGGCTTCAATGCATTGTGTCTGCCAGAGACACCTTGGCAATAGAGACCAATGAACAAAAAATTACGTAATGAGCATAGCCAAGGCATTACTCTTGTGACCATAGCTGCAAACTAAACCATAATAGAGACTCCCTATGAGAAAATCATAATTGGTAACACAATCAGATTATAGGGTGGTAGCTTTAAAGATTGCCACAATGGAGATTATAGTAGAATTAGTCCCATTGTTGGAGAGCAATACACTGCCTTCATGGCCCTCCTAAATGCACACCCTGACGTATTGCTCAATAGAACAGCCTGAGTGCCAGATCCTAGAGGAGATCATCTGGAGACCAAAAAGTGTCATTGCCAACATGATGTGGACCAGAGCTTTGGATTCCAAAGCTCTGAGTGGTGGTGATTGACTTGATGAATGACCGGATCAATGATTAAGCTTGCCATGATAATTTCTGCATATACTGAAGAAAGAAACATGCAATTTGCAGCAAGGTAACAGCATGCATATCATACACTGTACTGCGGATGAACCAGGCTCGCCGGGCGCCCCCCGGGGGGGGGGGTGGAGTTGATTTTTTTTTTCTGATGAGAGTTCTTCATTGACTTTACTGCAGACATATGTAAAGGCTGAAGGAGAATCTTGGCGGCCAAGGAAACTCGGTCCCCAAGTTTTAGTCACAAAACAAAGACTTGACTTCTTCAACTTACTAAAATATATACCCCAGTTAAACCCCTACACTACAATATATACCAATGACAAGAGGATGCAATAACCTGAGTTGAAACCCGGCTTATTTAGACGAGTAAGCTACCCTAATCCTAAATAAATTAATTTATATCTATCATGACTAAATTAACCACCCAAATAATTCATTGGAGCATTTACAAATGTGCTCATGTATGACATTCATGTTTCTTTGTAAGGAAATTATCAACTCAGCTCAACTCAACTCAACTCAACGGAGGGTTATTTCAACCATTTCGAGTCGCCTAGATGAATCTTTTTTTTTTCCCATGATGCTCAATCAAGGGTCATACATTCCGTGCATTCAGTTTTATTTTTAGTTATCTCAAATCTTTACTTTTTTTATTCTTTTCTACTTGTGTTTAATTCATCCATTTAAACAAGACAAATGGATATGTATCTAAGTAGGTCATAACAATTACAATTATTCTCGTGCATGACTTATCAAGTTTCTCTGTAAAGATTAATCTGCTTCTTGATGGACAGAAGTTTTCGATGAAAATATTAGATTATATCATCGTAGGATAACTTTCATTTTATATCATGTGGTTTGCATTCACAGTCTATTAAAGAACTATGATTAACCCTCTTGTGGTTTGATCTAAATTATAGAAGTGTGGAAGTGTCACTGGTTTAGCTTAAAAATATGAAATTGCTTTTCTCATTTTGGATCTTTTAATCTGTTTTCATTCTCTAGACCAATATTCATGAGTTATAGTGTCATTCTGAATTCTTATTATTCAAAATTATGACTCTGGACGGTTAGCCACAAAATTTGATGGAAACTATAAGTGCTACATTCCAATTCTTTAAGCCAGTCCACAAGGGGGATAATTTTAGCTTTTTAAATCACAAGTTTATTTCTCACTTGCCCAAGCCACATGCGAGGTATAAGAAGCATGGACACTCTCACAAGATGATGTATCTGTGTCTGACAAGATACTTTTTTGGCCGTGACCATAATTAAAAGATAAAATCTTAGTTCTGGACAAGTGTTTGACACTTCTTGCGGTAAATAAACATGGCCCGACATATAGGTAACCAACATGAAAACTTTGACAAATGACTATCTTATGCCACGAATGCTATAAAATGATTTGGACCAATCATGTGAAATTTTACTTAATAATAAATAGCAAAATTAAAAGATGCATTTAAGTTTTATTAAAGAAATGGACGCAAGAAGATGTGGACAATCCTTACAATTTATGTGTGTTTTCTATATTTTATCTATAAAAAATTGATTATTAATTGTTATTATCGATTAGTTGAAAAAATAGACTAGAGCACTATGCATAAGATTTATGTTCATAAAGTACCGATATTTGTATAATGTGTAATACCATAATTATGCTATGTATAGTGATAAGTATATAATTTGATATATAAGTGTGTTCACCACGTACCCGTATTTCTGGGAAATGCCATCCACGACGTGTCCATATCGTAGTGTATCTGTGGCCTTAGCTGTCTCTGTGCTTCTTAGGGTGAGGCGAGTGATTTCAGACCCAATGGCGAAATGATTGTAAATTGGTTGCATAATATGGCTAGGGTACAGTCCTTCCAATTTTGAATGGTGTGAAACTTGATCAAATGTACAGTTTTCACCCCAAACGTACCCATGCTTGTCTGATAGGTTCTAAAGCCATTTCACTAGAACTAGACCTGGATGGGTGAGTTACCTGAACAATCAGGTTAATTGCCACATCTGGTTACATCTGATATGCGTTTAGTTTGTTTTGACTGAATCAAATACTGTGGAAAGTCGTCCATCAGATGCTTTTAAATGATGGATTTGTATATTTAAGTGTTTTCCACCTTTGCTTGTATGGTTTTTACTTATCAGTGTTCATCTTACTGACTTAAAAGGTTTTTAAAATTGGTAACCTCTGAGTTTTTAATTTGAAATGACAGTTACCTGCTGGAGGAGTGGAAAGAGAAGCAAAAGGAGACATCTGAAGATGTCTCTGAAAGATTCTTATGTATGAGATTTATCTCACTAGAGGTATTGCTTTTTGTCTCAGCTTATTTTTGATATCTTCTTCAAAGTGTAATTTTAGATTAATAAATATGCCGGAAAGGCAGGTTTGGGCTAACAAGAAATTTACTGTTAAATGATTATGGTAGTTTGGCACAGAAGAACTGTTAGCATACAGAGAACATCTGTTGTGATATCGTGTATGGAAGTTTTTGTTGCTTTTTGGGAGTTTAGCAGTTTTTTAGAAATTTTCTGTTATCTTCATCTTGTGACAAGAAAATTGTAGATAAATCCAGAATATCATTTTTAAGAAAGATGAGCTTGTGAAGGATTTTTTTTTTAATTTGTAATGCTGATCAATAGTTTTTTGGAAGTGTATCTCCAAACTTTGCTCTTTCCTTAGAATTTTTGCACGCACATCCGAATTTGGTGATGAATAATATCTTAGAAATCATTTTTGGGGCTTATACTCAGAGCATTCCAACAAAAGATGCAGTTTTTTATTTTTAATTAATTAGTCTCATTCTTAGAGGTGTTACATTTGAGCATCCCATTGCTTTTTTTAACAAATAATAGCTGTGTCCCCCTCTTAGATGGGGAATAAGCTGTATTTCTGACTTTTAGTTATATTTGTGCAGCTACCGCAGCAGCAAAATTCATATGATTGTGGCCTTTTCTTGCTCCACTATGTGGAACTCTTTTTAGCCGAAGCTCCTGCTTGCTTTAGTCCATTTATGATAACAAAGTTCTCCAAGTTTGTAAGTGAACTGCTTTTTTCCCTCCTTAATCTCGTGAGCCTTTCATTTTTGTTATTAATTCCTTGGTTTCTTTACTTTCTTTTCGATTAATTATAGTTTGAAGTGTATGATTCCAGCTAGATCTATTCGCATCGAGGGTGCAAATTTGATGATCCATGTTATGTTGTTACGGGTTTCATTGCAGACTTTGTTTTGCCATTTCTGTTGGCTTGTTTCATGTCGAAGGGATAATTTTGAAATTCTTGATTGATGCCCTATGTAATAGTGGGTTAGTTGGAAAACAATGCACGGAAAAAATGGGTAATGTCCTGTCGAGAGTTGCAGTGTTTGAATTATGCAGACGTATAAATTCATTCTGAAATCTTCAGTTTTATGACAGTTCTTTTTTGGGGCGGTGTCTGGCCATCCTTTTTCGTGGAGTTTGTAGACAATTTGCTTTAGTGTTGGTTCCTTTCCCTTGGCTTTTAATTTGTGGTCTTTTCTTTCCTGTAACATATCAGAAGATTTAATAAGGTGAGAGATGGCAAATGCATGCAGAGTCTATGACATCTGTAGCATCAAACACTAAAATTGCTAGTTTAAATGTTGCTGTACTTTTTGTTGAGAATATGCATTTTCACTATTTACATTTTCTTTGCTATTTAATTTCTCTTGTTCCTTGTATTTCCTACTAATGACGGGTTGATGACTTTCTTGTAAACCTCTTGTCATCTGGATAATGAGCATTTTCTTTACCTATTACCCTGCATCTTACGCTTGATTCGGGGGCACTACAACTCATCCCCGCCCGAGTGTGATGCACATCATAGTTGGAAATTATTTTTCTTATTAGTAGCCTTTGATATTACTTTCCTTTTCTTGTTGAGCATTATTCTTCTGATTTTTAATTGTATATGTAACCATTTTTTCATTTTCAGCTTAATGTGGATTGGTTTCAATCTGATGAGGTTTCACTCAAGCGAGGAGCAATACAGAGATTGATCTATGACCTCCTTGGAAATTCATCTAGAGAAATTTCTCCGGCTAGTGCCAGTGAAAAGCACTGTACCTCTGACTGTCCCCAAAATCACAAGGATAATGAAATTGCTTTGGAGTTTCTTCAAGAGAGATGCAGTCCTTCGAAGGGTGGTCATGGGAATTTAGCAAATTCTCAAGCTAATCTGGGGATTGAGATGACTCTATTACCAACATCCCTTATGAGGACTCCTGGATATGCTAGTGATTTAGGCTTGGTTTCAAGGGAGCTTTTTGAGCCAGAAGTTTCTGCCGGATCATTCATTGAGGCACAATACCAAGCTTTTGACCAGACAGCCCCTTTTGGTGGGTTTAAGAGTGCTATGCCACCAATAGAGGTAATTCTCAATCCTATCATTCTGGTCAGAAGCAAAAATTAGTACTGTGGTTGACATTGATCCTTTTATTGTCTTGGTTGGTGGGGTGGGGGAGGGTACGGTTTCTGGTTCATTTGATTACTTCTTTTGAGAGGTGGAGGGATTGATGATTAAAAAATTGGTAACATCGACCTATATGCCAATTCATCATCCTTTTGGGATTGAATTTTCCATCAGTTCAAGTTTTATGCAATGAGTTTGGTTTTAGAATGTTCATGTGAACATCCCACCCAAAATGCAATAAATTGTATATCTATCCTCAAAACTCAACTCTACTCTACAAAATCCACGTCACCATTGTGCTCTATTAGGGACTATATTTTCTGTTAGAACTTAAGTTATTATATTTTTTTTTACTATTTCAATTAAAGTTAATTGTGCTCTTCCTTTACCCGTTCAATTACTGTCAAGAGCTATAACATCACTCTCTTGGTGGTGACATACTAGGCCTTCTATAAATATGTTCAAACCATGTAAGTCGATTTTTCCTTATTTTCTTTCCTATGTATGCTACCTCTACTTTTTCACGAATATTCTCATTGCTAATTCTTTTACCAAACATCCATTTTAGCAATCTCATTTTTGAACTTGTTTCTATCCTATGGTCTATTATTAAATGAATAACATTGTGGGGAAAGAACTTTTTTTTGTTTATTTATCTGTTAGTAGCAAGTCTTAAATACTAATTAGAGGAGACCCTTGCAAGAAGATCTTGCTTATTTAACCCCCCCTCCCCGCCGCTCTCTTCCCTCAAATGCCTTGTGCAATCGTCCAGTTAATGTCATTTGGGTTAATTGGAGAAGTCATGTTTGTCTTTTTGGAGTGAAGTAAAGATTTACTTTAATCACTTAGATAAAGAAGTGACAGTTACATAACTGACATTAACCAAAAGTGAAATGGTTGCACTACTTGGCGCTTCAGTTGGCCAATTTTGCATTTTAACTTTTTTCTGTGTAAATTCCCTTATCAAAGCATTGCATTTTGAGATTCGTTTTATGGTTTATTAATTTTCTAAAACTGGCTGGAACCTCATCCATGTTGTGTCTGTTTTTACATAGGAAGAGGAAGAAGTCGGTGGGCATCTTGTCTATGCTCCATCAACAGAAATTGGTTTCGGGCGAGTAGGTGAAATCACATCTGAAGCTTGTGCCTTTCATTATTCATCCACAGATTATACACCAGGGGGTTCTTGGAACCCAGGAATCTCTCTTCACGAAGCTGAGCATCATGATAACAAGGACTCATCACCCACGACATCAATTTGTGCATCCGGTGATTCATTTGAAGTAGACGATAATGAAAAAGACCAAGTTGGCGAAGATCTCAACATCAACGAAAAAATAGAGCAGCCAAGATCTGCATCAACAGAGAACATACAATGCGTGACAGAATGTTTTGCTTCTCCTCCAAGAGAGATGCCGGATATTGCAGATTCTCGGAGCCCAGATCAAATGCTTGAAGGCAATGGTGATGCAGATGTACCTGGTTTCTGTTGTCAAGACCCTGATATCCCCCAAAATGGCGGCACCGCTTGTAGTGATGGGCAGTTGATCTGCGACGATTCAGTTTCGGAATCAGATGAGCAGCATGCTGCAAAAAGGATGCGAATTACGCCTTCCGTTGAAGGCGAAGGACTCACAATAAGCCTTTATGAGGATCTGCATTTGTAAATGAACACTAGGTCTCTCTTTCTTTTTATTTTCCCGCCTTCCTATAAGTAAGTTTATTTGATCAAATTGAATCTCACTAGGTTATTGATAGATCATGCTGTGAATAGTGTTTTATGGCCCTACATTGGAATTGGTTAATAGTAATATTGGTCCAAAGGGATTCTAAAACCGGTTTAGGGTCGGGTATCCATTCATGTATATCCGAGCTGATTTTGTGTTTATTTTGCTTATGTATTTTCCGTAGCAATGGGCGTCAGGTGAAGCAAAAATTAGTTAAAACTAGTAGTAATGTTTGGAAATGTATCGTGTTTGTTTGGTGATATTATTTGTACTGTTCATTGAGTCTTATTTTTAATTATTGTATTTTATTAAGGGTCATATTTTTTGTTAAATTATAAACTTTTTTTATTACTCCTCGTTTCATTACTAGACACAAATAGGTTAAAACAATCTCATTCCTAAACAATTCAATTCAATACTAAAAAAATCAAATAATAAATTTTCAAATTTTAAAGCTGTACTTATTTTTATATTCAAGTTCATATTTATTATGATCCTTTGATTCATATCTCACATATGGAGAGTGCAATGGTACCCAATTTTATTTTTGGTACCATACTAGTTTCTCACCATTCATCATTTTGATTTAGTTATAACTGTTGATCATAAAAATAGTATATTCAAACAAGTAATAAAATAAAAAAAAAATGTATTTTAATAATTGCTTATTAAATTTTATATCCCAATTAGATGGTTGGATTAATGAGTCTCACTCACTCTCATTAAATATTTAATGTATAAAATTGGGTTACATCATTTAGAAAATAACATTTGATAAACTCATTTGGAATGTATAACTTTATTTTGCATTTTTATTTCATCAAAAAAGAAAATACTGACCTAATTGAAGCTTTGGTATGTATATGCATATTAGTAATATTATTTAGATTTAAAATATTGACATGATTTACTGACTTTATCAATCATTGACATTGATTTAACTATTAATCTCATTATTTATTAGAATTCAATCCAAATACAATTTTATGATTGATTAGCAAATCAAGTTGTATTTATTTATTTAAATTTTTTTTTTCTTTTTGCTGCTTAAAAGGGGTAGGAGCGATCATAAAGTAATAATTCCCGAATAGGGGTGCAACTCGGGTGAGCTAGGAGGTCATTCATAACTTAACCCTAAGTATATAATCTTTAATCGTAACCCTAATCATAATCCAAACTCGACCTTAACTCGAGTACTGTCTCAGTTGAATTCAGGCAGATTCGAGTTGAATTCAAATTACTATATTTTGAATGATTTTCAAGTTAGAATTCAAATAAGGTTAGTTCAAACTTATAATCACTATATTTTTCTAAACCGTTACATCTAACACACCAAAAGAAAGCACAACCACAACCACCATAGACACTACCACAACAACTACATCGTACAAAAATCGAGAGACACATATTTGATAGATTTCAGAGGAAGTTGATGATGGTATTAGTAACGCAGATCTTAGATCTGAGAGATCTTCGGNATTGTATTTTATTAAGGGTCATATTTTTTGTTAAATTATAAACTTTTTTTATTACTCATCGTTTCATTACTAGACACAAATAGGTTAAAACAATCTCATTCCTAAACAATTCAATTCAATACTAAAAAAATCAAATAATAAATTTTCAAATTTTAAAGCTGTACTTATTTTTATATTCAAGTTCATATTTATTATGATCCTTTGATTCATATCTCACATATGGAGAGTGCAATGGTACCCAATTTTATTTTTGGTACCATACTAGTTTCTCACCATTCATCATTTTGATTTAGTTATAACTGTTGATCATAAAAATAGTATATTCAAACAAGTAATAAAATAAAAAAAAAATGTATTTTAATAATTGCTTATTAAATTTTATATCCCAATTAGATGGTTGGATTAATGAGTCTCACTCACTCTCATTAAATATTTAATGTATAAAATTGGGTTACATCATTTAGAAAATAACATTTGATAAACTCATTTGGAATGTATAACTTTATTTTGCATTTTTATTTCATCAAAAAAGAAAATACTGACCTAATTGAAGCTTTGGTATGTATATGCATATCAGTAATATTATTTAGATTTAAAATATTGACATGATTTATTGACTTTATCAATCATTGACATTGATTTAACTATTAATCTCATTATTTATTAGAATTCAATCCAAATACAATTTTATGATTGATTAGCAAATCAAGTTGTATTTATTTATTTAAATTTTTTTTTTCTTTTTGCTGCTTAAAAGGGGTAGGAGCGATCATAAAGTAATAATTCCCGAATAGGGGTGCAACTCGGGTGAGCTAGGAGGTCATTCATAACTTAACCCTAAGTATATAATCTTTAATCGTAACCCTAATCATAATCCAAACTCGACCTTAACTCGAGTACTGTCTCAGTTGAATTCAGGCAGATTCGAGTTGAATTCAAATTACTATATTTTGAATGATTTTCAAGTTAGAATTCAAATAAGGTTAGTTCAAACTTATAATCACTATATTTTTCTAAACCGTTACATCTAACACACCAAAAGAAAGCACAACCACAACCACCATAGACACTACCACAACAACTACATCGTACAAAAATCGAGAGACACATATTTGATAGATTTCAGAGGAAGTTGATGATGGTATTAGTAACGCAGATCTTAGATCTGAGAGATCTTCGGTCTTATCTAAGAATAGGTGTCTATTGAGAGTGAGAGAAGTGAGAACGAGAGAGTTGTAAAATTTTTGAATTTAAATATTGTCTGAATTTAATTTGGATTCAAATTTTTAAATTTAGGGTTAAACCAAAATTTTNTACCCAATTTTATTTTTGGTACCATACTAGTTTCTCACCATTCATCATTTTGATTTAGTTATAACTGTTGATCATAAAAATAGTATATTCAAACAAGTAATAAAATAAAAAAAAAATGTATTTTAATAATTGCTTATTAAATTTTATATCCCAATTAGATGGTTGGATTAATGAGTCTCACTCACTCTCATTAAATATTTAATGTATAAAATTGGGTTACATCATTTAGAAAATAACATTTGATAAACTCATTTGGAATGTATAACTTTATTTTGCATTTTTATTTCATCAAAAAAGAAAATACTGACCTAATTGAAGCTTTGGTATGTATATGCATATCAGTAATATTATTTAGATTTAAAATATTGACATGATTTATTGACTTTATCAATCATTGACATTGATTTAACTATTAATCTCATTATTTATTAGAATTCAATACAAATACAATTTTATGATTGATTAGCAAATCAAGTTGTATTTATTTATTTAAATTTTTTTTTCTTTTTGCTGCTTAAAAGGGGTAGGAGCGATCATAAAATAATAATTCCTGAATAGGGGTGCAACTCGGGTGAGCTAGGAGGTCACTCATAACTTAACCCTAAGTATATAATCTTTAATCGTAACTCTAATCCTAATCCAAACTCGACCTTAACTCGAGTACTGTCTCAGTTGAATTCAGGCAGATTCGAGTTGAATTCAAATTACTATATTTGGAATGATTTTCAAGCTAGAATTCAAATAAGGTTAGTTCAAACTTATAATCACTATATTTTTCTAAACCGTTACATCTAACACACCAAAAGAAAGCACAACCACAACCACCACAGACACTACCACAACAACTACATCGTACAAAAATCAAGAGACACATATTTGATAAATTTCAGAGGAAGTTGATGATGGTATTAGTCACGCAAATCTCAGATTTGAGAGATCTTCGGTCTTATCTAAGAATAGGTGTCTATTGAGAGTGAGAGAAGTGAGAACGAGAGAGTTGTAAAATTTTTGAATTTAAATATTGTCTGAATTTAATTTGGATTCAAATTTTTAAATTTAGGGTTAAACCAAAATTTAAAAACCTCAACTCAAGCATATATTTTTATTTAGCTTGAATTTGAGTTGGGTCACCCAAATTACATTCCTACCGCTGAACATTACAATGAGAGTTTCCAACATCTGATTTAGGCCATAGTTAATAACCCAAAAGAATAACTCGTCACCAGTATACACTACCGGAGCTAATAGGGAAATCGCATTATGCCTCTGGACCGAACCCTGATGACTACATGGGACAAGCGGTTCGGCTTACCACTGTGAATTGAGTTCAGCAAGGACATTAGGGCTNATTTCATCAAAAAAGAAAATACTGACCTAATTGAAGCTTTGGTATGTATATGCATATTAGTAATATTATTTAGATTTAAAATATTGACATGATTTACTGACTTTATCAATCATTGACATTGATTTAACTATTAATCTCATTATTTATTAGAATTCAATACAAATACAATTTTATGATTGATTAGCAAATCAAGTTGTATTTATTTATTTAAATTTTTTTTTCTTTTTGCTGCTTAAAAGGGGTAGGAGCGATCATAAAATAATAATTCCTGAATAGGGGTGCAACTCGGGTGAGCTAGGAGGTCACTCATAACTTAACCCTAAGTATATAATCTTTAATCGTAACTCTAATCCTAATCCAAACTCGACCTTAACTCGAGTACTGTCTCAGTTGAATTCAGGCAGATTCGAGTTGAATTCAAATTACTATATTTGGAATGATTTTCAAGCTAGAATTCAAATAAGGTTAGTTCAAACTTATAATCACTATATTTTTCTAAACCGTTACATCTAACACACCAAAAGAAAGCACAACCACAACCACCACAGACACTACCACAACAACTACATCGTACAAAAATCAAGAGACACATATTTGATAAATTTCAGAGGAAGTTGATGATGGTATTAGTCACGCAAATCTCAGATTTGAGAGATCTTCGATCTTATCTAAGAATAGGTGTCTATTGAGAGTGAGAGAAGTGAGAACGAGAGAGTTGTAAAATTTTTGAATTTAAGTATTGTCTGAATTTAATTTGGATTCAAATTTTTAAATTTAGGGTTAATCCAAAATTTANACAATTTTATGATTGATTAGCAAATCAAGTTGTATTTATTTATTTAAATTTTTTTTTTCTTTTTGCTGCTTAAAAGGGGTAGGAGCGATCATAAAGTAATAATTCCCGAATAGGGGTGCAACTCGGGTGAGCTAGGAGGTCATTCATAACTTAACCCTAAGTATATAATCTTTAATCGTAACCCTAATCATAATCCAAACTCGACCTTAACTCGAGTACTGTCTCAGTTGAATTCAGGCAGATTCGAGTTGAATTCAAATTACTATATTTGGAATGATTTTCAAGCTAGAATTCAAATAAGGTTAGTTCAAACTTATAATCACTATATTTTTCTAAACCGTTACATCTAACACACCAAAAGAAAGCACAACCACAACCACCACAGACACTACCACAACAACTACATCGTACAAAAATCAAGAGACACATATTTGATAAATTTCAGAGGAAGTTGATGATGGTATTAGTCACGCAAATCTCAGATTTGAGAGATCTTCGANAAGTTGATGATGGTATTAGTAACGCAGATCTTAGATCTGAGAGATCTTCGGTCTTATCTAAGAATAGGTGTCTATTGAGAGTGAGAGAAGTGAGAACGAGAGAGTTGTAAAATTTTTGAATTTAAATATTGTCTGAATTTAATTTGGATTCAAATTTTTAAATTTAGGGTTAAACCAAAATTTTAAAACCTCAACTCAAGCATATATTTTTATTTAGCTTGAATTTGAGTTGGGTCACCCAAATTACATTCCTACCGCTGAACATTACAATGAGAGTTTCCAACATCTGATTTAGGCCATAGTTAATAACCCAAAAGAATAACTCGTCACCAGTGTACACTACCGGAGCTAATAGGGAAATCGCATTATGCCTCTGGACCGAACCCTGATGACTACATGGGACAAGCGGTTCGGCTTACCACTGTGAATTGAGTTCAGCAAGGACATTAGGGCTCTGAGACGATCCATAAAAAAAAAAAAAAAATTCGATCTTTACCCGTTCCGGAGAAAATTGCAGTGCTCGATGCTAATGGAGGCTCATCATCTATGGATGGGGAGTGTAAGATCTTTGCTTTTAACTTCGCCGCCGACAGTTCAACTCGCTTAACTTCCTTGTAATCGGAGTTATATACAGATACGTATAACGATGAAACTACTACATCTCCATTACTTGAACAATCAGTCTCAGAGACTTGCATTGGCGGCCCTTTTCGTTCTATTGTTGCCGAATATCTTTCCCAATTTCTTCGCTCCTTTGGGTCGTGCTTATCCTTCCTTGTTCTCTGTACGTCTCTCTCTTTCTCTCTCCACACACACACACACTGACACATGTGTATATGTACATGTATCTGGGTATGTCTCTGTTTATGATCACATTTTGAATAAAGATTAGTGAATTAATTGGCATTCAGTTGTTGTCTAATTTATGTTAATTAGAGGAACAGCACACGCCAAGGCAAGGGAGGGAAAGAGAAGAGACCGAAAAAGAGTAAGGGTCTTCGTGTGCGTGATTGCAAAGAAGTGAAATTAGGAGAGGGGGGGAGAGAGATAGAGATGGGATTGAGAAGGAACCCCAAAAGAGTTGGATAGTTAGAGTGCCGTTAAAGAGGGGATTATGGAAGGTTGAAGAAGAAGAAGAAAAGAAGGGTAATATAGATATTTAATGAGTGGACACCAAATTCCACCCTCCCCCTTTACTAATAATTAGTTAGTTATTCATGAAATTCGGATGAACAACCTTATGACTAAGAATGCTATGACCTTATCAAAATTCAAACCTAGTAAGCTTATAAAGGACCTACCTTGCTCAGTGTAATGATCTCTTTTTTTTTTGTGCTTGAAATACCTTTCCAAAATTATGACTCTTTGTGGTCAATTAAGCTGTATAAATTGGCTTGAATCTTGGGGGAAAAAAATTGTTCAATACATTGCATTTGTGAAAATGTCACATCTGAGTGGGATATCATCCATCAATTTGAATGTGGCTCTATTTTATTCCTTAATGGAAGTTTTAGTTTTTGTTGCATTGTAGGAATGGAATGCTCCAAGGCCTAAGCACTTGCGTCTACTACAGGGTGCTCTACAATTCCAAAGTGTGAGTAGGTGTTGAGTGTGCTACTTTTCTCCATGAAAAGATTTATGGAAATTTTAATAGCTTTTGTACTAAACAAATAGCATTGTTCTGTTTTCAATTTTTAGTCTGAGAAACAGCAGGCTGACCTGTGGTCTCCCTTGGCCAACCAAGGATGGAAACCCTGCGTTGAATCTACATATGTGCCTTGTGAGTGCCTTCAAATGTGCTAAGTCATGTACCTTGGCAGACCAAGGTTTTCATCTTGGTGTTCTAGCATTGTTGCATTTAATGTATAGATAGACAGATTACTTGGAAATGATCTCAGTTATGTTTCCTATGAAAAAAAAAAAAGAATTACTTAAAAATGGCCCACTCTCTTAAAATGAATCTATTTGCTGATGTATCTATATGTATGTTTTTGTAGTGCTTCCAAAGGAATCCCAGCTGTATATTCAAGTATTTCTCGATGGAGGGCTAAACCAGCAAAGAATGGGGGTATGTAAGTTCTATCATGGCATGTGTAGTTTAAGATGACAAAGAATTCAAGAATGTCTACATGGACATTTTAGGTAGTGTAGGATTTTTACAGTTAATCGAATTTTCCGTTTAACTTCCTTTCCCCTTTCTTTTTCTTTTGATAATTGCCTCCCTTCAAAGATTTGTGATGCAGTTGCTGTTGCTAAAATATTAAATGCAACACTTGTGATTCCACACTTTGAAGTGAATCCTGTTTGGCAAGATTCAAGGTATTGTAACTGTAAGAGTACACTATCTTAGCATACTTCCCCACATTTTAGTTTTCCAACCAAACCAGCAGCCACTCATGTAAAGTCTTGTGTTCTGCAGTTCATTCACAGATATATTTGATGTTGATCACTTTATTAATGTCCTGAATGATGAAGTCGCTATAGTTAAAGAGCTGCCCAACAAATACTCTTGGAGCACCAGGGAGTATTATGCTACAGGCATACGAGCTACTAGAATTAAAACAGCACCTGTCCATGCATCTGCTAACTGGTATCTGGAAAATGTTTTGCCCGTCTTGCAGAGGTTTGTAGAGAATGTCATCCTTGTTTTCTTAATAACACACTGTTTGCTGCTCAAATTATCTTTGTCACTGCCCTGTGTTTCTATCTTTTCTTTCTCTGTATGTCAAACTAAATATTTATTAATTTTTGTTCGCTTGTCCAAATGTGGTATCTCCTATTGAAGATTTGTAGTAATTCACCTCAATGTGTTTTCTGTTCTAGTCCTATTTTGCTCTGGAGAAGTCATTGCAATAGCCAAAATTACAAAGATAGAAATAATGCCAAGAACCTGTATATTGTGTGGTCCATATGGTGTAAAACGTGCACTGCAATGTATTTAAAAGACAACTATTCATCCATATTGAATGCAAGTGTTTTTATCTCATTTGGAAAATAATATTTCCGGTCTTAGCTTTTGAGCTGGATTTAGATACCTATGATCCTCTTAAGTACGGATTGTTTGTATTCCTTGCTCTGCAAAAATTTGATGCGTCCCTATGTTGTTGTATCCAAAAATGATTAATTCTATTTATATTGTTTTGAACTGTTACAGTTATGGAATTGCTGCAATAGCCCCATTCTCTCACCGTTTGGATTTTGACAACCTGCCTTCAGACCTCCAACACCTACGATGTAAGGTTAACTTTCGAGCATTAGTTTTCATTCCCCCTATCAGGATGTTGGGGGAGGCACTCGTCAATCGCCTCCGAAGCCCTCCTAGCATAAACAGAGCAGCTGAGGCTGACCACCTGCTGGAGGGAGAAGGTGATAAACAGGGTTCTGGAAAGTATGTTGTGTTACATCTTCGCTTTGACAAAGTAAGGTTCTTTTATGATTCTTTGATTTACAGAAACTTCTTAACTTCCGGTTTGCATTCTTTGTAGGCATTTTTTAATCTAGCTGTAAAAACTTGGGTTTGTTTGGTTGTTCACACAAGTACTTAGTACTTACAAGACATGAATTTTTGTGTCCTAGCATCAGGAAATATATGTGCACCTCTTTGTTGTCAGGCATTCTAGAAAGTCTATCTGTGGATCATAAGCACCATAGGAGTGATGGCAGTTTTGGCTGTGCATTAATCAAAATAGTTGGTGTAGTTTCTAATCCGTTTCTTGCGTAGAGGATCCAAGATCAAAGTACCAATCTCAAAATAATTGCTCAGGTACTGCCATTTGTCCAGACTTCCCAAATGCAACTCTCCAACAGAGTAGTTTGAGGGTCTAAGAGCAATCAAGGTTTAACCGTTAGATAGCATTATGCATTTAATGAGTATCCTCTCTCTCCATCTCTCTCATTTAATTGTTAGATCTACGATTTGGATTGCTATTGTTGCATGTTTGTTTTCAAAACCTGTCCACCTTTTACAGGATATGGCTGCTCATTCAGCTTGTGATTTTGGTGGGGGTAAAGCTGAGAAACTGGCTCTTGCAAAATACCGCCAAGTGATTTGGCAGGGAAGAGTCCTGAATTCTCAGTTCACTGATGAAGAGTTGAGAAATCAGGGGCGTTGTCCATTGACTCCTGAGGAGATTGGACTGCTATTGGCAGCTTTGGGATTCAATAATAAAACCCGCCTCTATCTTGCTTCACACAAGGTTTGTTGTGTCTTTTTCTGTATATAATGGAAGTTATAACTCCACCTGGGGCTTAACCTAACCAAGATTTGTGTGGTCTATCTTGTACCTTATCGTTGTAAACTTGGGTATTTTGCTTTCAGAAACAACCAGAGAATGAGGCTGATTGGATTTTCTACCTTCTGTTCTTTTGTTTTGATTTCAAGGTTTATGGTGGAGAAGCAAGGATCTCAACGCTGCGCAAATTGTTTCCGCTAATGGAAGATAAGAAAAGCATCGCTTCTGTCGAAGAGCGGGCTAAGGTTCAAGGAAAGGCTTCTTTATTAGCTGCTGTTGATTATTATGTGAGCATGCAAAGTGACATCTTCATATCTGCTTCTCCAGGCAATATGCACAATGCACTGGTAAGGCAGAGTACCTAGTTTAAACTTTTGAATCTAAGTTTCTTTTTGGAAATTGTGACATATAGGGATTGTCAAAATCATTAAATCATTGACGTTGGGTTGACCACATAATAGTTTGACCCCTGGAACCATACAATGCCATGGATTAGGCTCAACCAACCCAAGCCTACCTTTTTAGCTCATCAATTCACCTTAATGTGTACGCTCACTATATTGGTCCATTTCCATTTGTGTGTGCTGATCCTTAGATCAGCGCATGCAGTGCATTAATGGCAAAAGAAACTAGGAGCTTTTCAATCCTCCTGTGTTGTGCTCAAAATGATTATGTATTTTCACTTGAGATTTCCAACCAGATGCAATGAAAAATGGGATTTTCAAGACTTTCATGGGTTGGATTGTGATTAATTCATCAGGTAGGACATCGAGCTTACAGAAACTTGAAGACCATTAGACCGAATATGGTGTTGCTTGGCCAGGTCTTCTTAAATAAGAACATGGAATGGTCAGAGTTCCAGCAAGCAGTACTGAATGGGCATAAAAATAGACATGGGCAAATCAGGTTAAGAAAGGAGAAGCAATCCATATATACCTATCCTGCTCCTGATTGCATGTGTCGAGCTTAACTGATGCGATCTTGGGGGGTCTCACATGACTTGGTAAGTTATGAAATTTGTAAACACATTTCTTGTCTATTAAATTATTATACGCATCTGATTATGACGAGATAAAATGTGGCAGAACAGCCCCCTTCCCTTATGTGAGACTACAAGCAGCATATCTGTTATGAACATTTGCGTTGACGTTCAATAGTCGNGTCTATTAAATTATTATACGCATCTGATTATGACGAGATAAAATGTGGCAGAACAGCTCCCTTCCCTTATGTGAGACTACAGGCAGCATATCTGTTATGAACATTTGCGTTGACGTTCAATAGTCAGTTATAGGAAGTAGTGTGGGTTTTGTTTCTGTTAAAGTATAAATATCTAAGTTACACCCTTTTAACAACTTAAGTTTTTTTGAGTAGATGGTTGTTTAACAGTTTCTTTTATGATCATTGGTCCAGGAGAGTTTAGTTAGTGTGCTAGAATTTGATGGGGGGAAAAAGGATCATTCNTCTTTTATGATCATTGGTCCAGGAGAGTTTAGTTAGTGTGCTAGAATTTGATGGGGGAAAAAAGGATCATTCGAATGATGGAGGCAATTTTTCTTGAAGGAATGATTGCTTGGAGGAACTTGTTCTTCTACTAAGACTACAAGTACCTTTTCATAAATATATTTTTGTAACTTTTTCAAGTTACATTTGTTTTGCACCTTTTAATTTTCTCTTTTAACAGGGTTTTTTCCAATTCTCCAACTTTAATGACATTTTTATTATTAGATATGTGTTAATATATATAGAATTGGTGTCTTCGGTTGTGCCTCTTGTTCCTATTCGACAAATACAGGAGTGGTAAATAGAAAAGCAATTGAGTCGAATCGGATTTGATAATTTGAATCCAACCTATGTAATCCATTGTGGAGCAAAACAGGAGGATCAGACTAATTTATTTTGAACCCAACTCCATTCTCCAATCTGTAATGATTGGGTAGGAGTTGATATTTCATTCCAATCTAACCCAGCCAAACCAACCCATAGTCTTGAACCTTAAGGTACTCGAAACTAGAAAGAATGAAGAATAACATTCCAAGGTTGTAGTCGTAGGTAGGATTTAGGTTCAGCCGGTGATGTCTCAGTGCAATCCTTTTTATGGAAATCTCATACACTGATGCAAGTAAATTGTTTTATTTTTTGTCAGACATTATTACAGGAGATCATAAGGTTCGAATATACGATCTTAAGGTTCAAAGACGGAGGGCCATTAGGCCAACCTCCAACCTCCATGCAAGTAATTATTATGAGCTAGTGATGGCTTATAAAAGAAAGGCACTACCGAGTTAAAATGGGCTGACCGTTATGACGTAGATTTAAACAAGCAACCCCGCTGGTCTGATTTGAATTGTCATTTGAGTGGGACCCATAATCTTTATTTACAAAACTAAATTTTTATAGACTAATTATTTCACTGAAATGCACTTTATTCCCTTGTATTTAAAATTTAAAATCAGTGNAATTTTTCTTGAAGGAATGATTGCTTGGAGGAACTTGTTCTTCTACTAAGACTACAAGTACCTTTTCATAAATATATTTTTGTAACTTTTTCAAGTTACATTTGTTTTGCACCTTTTAATTTTCTCTTTTAACAGGGTTTTTTCCAATTCTCCAACTTTAATGACATTTTTATTATTAGATATGTGTTAATATATATAGAATTGGTGTCTTCGGTTGTGCCTCTTGTTCCTATTCGACAAATACAGGAGTGGTAAATAGAAAAGCAATTGAGTCGAATCGGATTTGATAATTTGAATCCAACCTATGTAATCCATTGTGGAGCAAAACAGGAGGATCAGACTAATTTATTTTGAACCCAACTCCATTCTCCAATCTGTAATGATTGGGTAGGAGTTGATATTTCATTCCAATCTAACCCAGCCAAACCAACCCATAGTCTTGAACCTTAAGGTACTCGAAACTAGAAAGAATGAAGAATAACATTCCAAGGTTGTAGTCGTAGGTAGGATTTAGGTTCAGCCGGTGATGTCTCAGTGCAATCCTTTTTATGGAAATCTCATACACTGATGCAAGTAAATTGTTTTATTTTTTGTCAGACATTATTACAGGAGATCATAAGGTTCGAATATACGATCTTAAGGTTCAAAGACGGAGGGCCATTAGGCCAACCTCCAACCTCCATGCAAGTAATTATTATGAGCTAGTGATGGCTTATAAAAGAAAGGCACTACCGAGTTAAAATGGGCTGACCGTTATGACGTAGATTTAAACAAGCAACCCCGCTGGTCTGATTTGAATTGTCATTTGAGTGGGACCCATAATCTTTATTTACAAAACTAAATTTTTATAGACTAATTATTTCATTGAAATGCACTTTATTCCCTTGTATTTAAAATTTAAAATCAGTCCCAATTGACTAAAGAAACCAACCAATTTGAAGGACAACAATGCTACACTCTTTATCTTTGGGCATCACCTCGATATGAATTATTAGATTAGTGAGTTCTGTTAAATTTATTAAAATATTTAAAGGTTGGGATAATGTCACATCAAGTAGTGCACATATTGTTATTATTTGAAGAATTGGCATAACTAATTTACCCTTTTGGTCAAATCTAAAATCCAATCCTCCAAGTCATTGTTTATCTCCAACCTTGTCCCCCCACAGTCCAAATACTTTATCTTCAAAACTTGAAAAAGCAACCCTCAAGCCATACATTTTACCCTTATCAAACGAAGAAATAGAAGAAAAAGAAGNGTAATCCATTGTGGAGCAAAACAGGAGGATCAGACTAATTTATTTTGAACCCAACTCAATTCTCCAATCTGTAATGATTGGGTAGGAGTTGATATTTCATTCCAATCTAACCCAGCCAAANGTAATCCATTGTGGAGCAAAACAGGAGGATCAGACTAATTTATTTTGAACCCAACTCCATTCTCCAATCTGTAATGACTGGGTAGGAGTTGATATTTCATTCCAATCTAACCCAGCCAAACCAACCCATAGTCTTGAACCTTAAGGTACTCGAAACTAGAAAGAATGAAGAATAACATTCCAAGGTTGTAGTCGTAGGTAGGATTTAGGTTCAGCCGGTGATGTCTCAGTGCAATCCTTTTTATGGAAATCTCATACACTGATGCAAGTAAATTGTTTTATTTTTTGTCAGACATTATTACAGGAGATCATAAGGTTCGAATATACGATCTTAAGGTTCAAAGACGGAGGGCCATTAGGCCAACCTCCAACCTCCATGCAAGTAATTATTATGAGCTAGTGATGGCTTATAAAAGAAAGGCACTACCGAGTTAAAATGGGCTGACCGTTATGACGTAGATTTAAACAAGCAACTCCCGCTGGTCTGATTTGAATAGTCATTTGAGTGGGACCCATAATCTTTATTTACAAAACTAAATTTTTATAGACTAATTATTTCATTGAAATGCACTTTATTCCCTTGTATTTAAAATTTAAAATCAGTCNAGGGATTGTGAGTTCATTAATATAAGTGGTGGATGGAAAGGAAGGGGGGTGTACATTTCGAGAGAATTCTTTTGAGAAGACTAAATCATATAATTTATTTTTGAAAAAACATGATGCCACTGACTATTCATTACTACTGCAATCACCTCACCATTGTAGGTTCATCATAACTATTTGTCATTACCAAACTTGTCACCATCACTCTATCACCCCAATACCACTGCCTGAACACCCCCACACATCCAACACCATTTTCGTTGTCATCCTACCATATCATGATCGATCACTACTTTCACCACCTCACCTCTACTCCCTACACCGCCATAACCACCATACTATTGTCCAATTGCCACCCCTTTCTTTGCACCCCACTCCATTGATGCTACCATCCCCCCATGGCATGATCACTGTCATAGTTATACCTCGTAATCAATTCATTATCGTCAATGCAACTGTCACCATTATCACCGCCCAAAATATGTTATCTTTTCACTCTATAGTCATTACTCTCCCTCAAATACCATCACTTATTCACCATCGTCACTAGCAATGTCACTTTTGTTGACATAATTACCCCTACTTGCACCCATAAAACCACTTGTACCTTTACCCATAGCGGCAAGTGCTAAAATGGTAGAGGTATGCATAATAATTGGAAATAACAATGAACAATTTGTGGTGGATGACAGCAACAGTAATGATGGTAATGGAAAGATGATGCCATAGACAATAATGGTTTGTCTAGGGTGGTGAGGACGTCTTGGTGAGGTGGTGGTGATGACAACATAGTGGTACGACGTGGTAGTAAAAGGGAAAAGTAAAATAAAAAATTTAACAATTTTGAAACTTTAATTCTTTCTACTAATTAAATATTTTGATTCAATTTAATGCTTAAATTTCAATACATACTAAATAATTTTTGAACTAAAAAATTCATTATTTGAGCATTTTAAATTCACTGTTTAATTTTTAGTGCATAATTTTCAAATTTTATGAAATAAAAGCTAAGTCATTGTAAATTAGTTATGGGATGAAAACACATCACGATGACCATGTAAATAACTATAATCCCCCATTAAAAAAAAAAAGAATTCCAAAAAATATGACATCAAAATAATTTTTGCAAATATGAGACAGACAAACAAAAAAAAAATAAAGAAGAGAAAGATGAGCTGCCTTATAATGCACGTGATGAGAGACACGGGATCACCACACGACGCCGTTCGATATATGTTTTGCACGTGACACCACCTTCTTCATTTGAATTCCGAACTGAGCGCCTTCAAATCAAAATTAAATTCATATGACTTGTTTGTCTTTTCTTCATTCTCTTTCTCTGTCTTCTCGATTCGAAATTCTATCTCTCCTCTCTCTCTCTCTCTCTCTCTCTCTGAGCTCTGAGATCTCTAGAGGTGCACTTTTGGATCACATTCTATATCATTCAACCTCGACACATCTCTCTCTCCACTCTTCATTTGATTCTAATCGTTTAATTTCAGCTCAATATACTAAAAGGTTCAGTTTCTAACCCGATCCAATCTATGCACACAAGAAACACTGTATATATGTATGTGCAGATGTATAGAATATACATGCACACACCTATAGATGTATATGAGGCCCTAGTTTGCAGAATATAGTTGAGTAAGCCCTAAATTTGCTGATATATGTTAAATTTTTGGCTTCAGGTCAGGGTTTTTGATTGTGTTCTGTTCGAGATTGGGTGGAGATGGAGAATTCGGAGAGCAAAGAATCGTCGCAGTGTGTTAGAGTTGCTGTCAACATTAGACCGCTGGTGACTTCGGAGCTTCTTGTTGGCTGCACAGATTGTGTCACTGTTGTCCCCGGTGTGCCACAGGTATGGTAGCTCTTCATGATTTAATTCGTACTTCACTGTATGAGCACCAGAAATATTTCGACATGATATTTTTGAAATCTCATATTGATTGGTGGTGGTTGTTTGCGATTGGATCCATAATCTGTATAGGGTTAGGATATTTCTAATGAATTAGCTGTTTTCGGTTTATTGTGAGAAAACTAAAAACGTTTCAGAATTGCAGTTTTTGGTGAGATGTAAATTTTAACTTGCAAATTAGAATGTCTTATTGATTTTGCAGTTTTTGGGTGCACAAACAGGTGCAAATTGGATCACATGCCTTCACATACGATTATGTCTTTGGCAGTGTGGGACAACCCTCTTCACTGATATTCGACGAGTGTGTTGCTCCACTTGTTGATGCGCTCTTTCATGGTTACAATGGCACAGTTCTTGCCTATGGTCAGGTATCACATTTTTATGTTGTTTGATTTTTGACGAGTTTTCCTAGTACAAAAAATTAGGCAAGCTCTTTGAGTTCTAGGTTTGGAAGTTTGTTTTGATAGACATGCTCACCTATTTTGTGTGTTTGCTCACTGCCAAAGACTGGATCGGGGAAAACATACACAATGGGGACTAACTATAACGGAGAAGAGCATAATGGTGGTATCATTCCCAAAGTGATGGAAACTATATTCACAAGAGTAGAGGCAATGAAATGCTCGACAGAGTTTCTAATTAGAGTATCATTTATTGAGGTATGTAATGTAAACATTGGTCTTTGGACTTTGTCATTATCTTCATGGTATATTTGTGTATAGAGTTGTTGATGCGTTTGCGTGTAATTTATCATCTGGTAGATCTTTAAGGAAGAAGTGTTTGATCTGCTGGATCCAAATACACCATCTTTTTCCAAGAGTGATGGGGTGTATCTGGCAAAGCCTACTGGGCCTGCAAGAGCTCCTATTCAAATTAGAGAAACAGTGAATGGAGGGATAACACTTGCTGGAGTGACAGAGGCTGAGGCCAGAACAAAAGAAGAGATGACTTCATTTCTATTGCGTGGTTCTTTATCCCGTGCCACTGGGAGCACAAATATGAACAGTCAATCAAGGTACAGAAATATAGATAGCCTTATCACACACAGTTATCTAATCATATATGTAAATATCTGTGTATCATGGTGTTTCTGTATCTGTTGTGTGCCATGTTCCCTTACCTGGTAAATAGTGTTCAGTGTTTATGCGAAATTAGGGCGTCAAGAAAAGAAAAATTCATCTCAATTTAGTACAAAGTTTTAGGCTTTCAGCAGTGTTGATCCTTTATTAAGACCCTTGCTTGCCCAAAAACAGATGTGACTTTGTTATCACCTTAATTGAGATAGTGAGAAATTCAGTGTTATTTAAAAGGTCTAGTTATAACAGAATGTTCTGTGACACCGAGGATTCATGTCATAAACGTGTCTGTAAATGATGGGCTCATGGTTTGCCCATCCGAGAAAATGTCGGTCTCTGTGATGCCTTGTTGGGTGGGAGTTGCTAAAATATGTAATCACAGTCCCTATTAGACTGTTGTAATCTGTAACATGAATTATTTGTGTAGCTAAGGCAGTTCTATGACCTCTATTAGGTTGATACAAAATAGTTGTGGGGGGCAGGTCTTTCAGTGATTGTTCTCCTTGGCAGACATAATATTGGGTTATTTATCGTCATGAATGCTTATACTATTTTTATGCAGAATAATAACACCTTTTGCTATATTAATGCAGTTACTTGGAATCTGGTTAAGTGTAAAATAAAATTAAGCCATCTAAGACCTTTAAGCTTTTGGACTCTTCCTAAATAAAATAAAATAAAATAGGATCTTGTGACACAAGAATTGCCCAATCTCGATGAGCAACATTGTTGAACTTATTGTACTTCTTGACCACATCGTGGCTGTTTCACCAATTCAATTTACATAAAAGAAGTATTTTCCTTTCATCCAAATTATATATAAATGTGCTAACTTTTATAATGTTTTAGCATAACTTTTGGTATTACCTATTAGTTTGATGGCTTTTCACCAACTCAAAGCACACAGTTGTTCTCTCATGAAGTTGATTTTAACTAGTATAAATATAATTTTTTTTTCCCGGTAAGTAGAATAAATTTAGTTAAGGCATACAATTAAACGACAGGAAGAAGGTCCTTGGTGTGACCAGTGGTCCTTGCTTTTAAGAAAGCGGAGCTAATAACTGAGAATCATATACGAAAAGGTTCAGCATCTATTCATACTCAATTATATACGATAGGATCTCATTTTGTTTTCTGAATTTAAGTATTGCTAAGGAATGAGAAATAATCCTCCTGGCCACTGCTTGAATTAAACAAAAAATGCTTTTATGGTAATTCTAAGATATTTATCCTCGCAAATCACCCAACTAATTACATTTGGATTGATCTCTTATAGTTTTTCTTGATTTGTTAAACCCTTCAATTTTGAGAAGGAAGAAGCCTCATTGGCTGAATTTTGTCAGGAGGCCCAATCAATATCAAGCCTTTTCAAGTAACACCCTCTTGGCTTTCGACACTTATTTGCACTAATTAATTTTTTCTTATTATGCTTAAGATGTAATGTTTATGGCTTGCTGTTGGAAATTCAACAGCCAAGAACTGCTAATAAAAGAAGGCTAGGAGTTATGTTTTATAATCAGGGAGAAATATGATTACTGTAGCCATTATTAAGGCTGATTCTGTCAGTAAGTAATAGTCACAGTGTCACACATAGAAAGAAGAATACAGAACAAAGAAGTGAACTCTTTTCCCACATAACAACCATCGAGAGGGTATAATGAATGACGAGATTATGTATATCAGTACATACATAAGACACAATGGAGTAGCTGAATCGTTTTGGTGCGGAGGTGTTTACTGAAGTCTTTTTATCATACTGGAGCAAAGAGGCTAAATGGAATACGTTTCTGTAGGCATAAGAAGCAAGAAATTCTTTATGGTGTCATTTAGCATGCAGTCTTCCGACAGTGGAATGCTTATCGTTTTTCGTGTCTCAGTCACCTGCAATATTGACAAATAAATTATGTATAGTGCTTGTTTCTATCTCTGTGTGATACCCCTTATCTGGTTTGTACCATTTTGGCGAATATGGATGCCCTTTAAAACGTTGTGTTTCTGCTCTTATGTTTAGTCGTTCGCATGCCATCTTTACAATATCCATGGAGCAGAAAAGAAGTGCTAGTTGCCGAACTGGAGTGGTACAAGATGATGTTGGTGATGATATTCTGTGTGCAAAACTTCATTTGGTAGACCTTGCTGGTTCTGAGCGAGCCAAACGTACTGGAGCAGATGGGTTGCGTTTACGAGAAGGTAGTTATACTTAATGCTTATGATTTTTGAAATATTTTTTTGGAATTGTATACCAAGACAGTACAATCGGTTTAGGTGGTATTTGTGATCTTTGTAACTCTAACCTAGAGTTTCACTCTTTTTTCCTTGACTTGAAAATTTTTGTAATTTTTCTGTGTGAAGCCTGTTGCATACTTGATTAGAATAGTGTAGTTGGTTAGTTTTTTGAATGTGTCAGATCCAACCTTTGGTTTTCTTGTTTTGTGTGGCCTAGGCATTCATATCAATAAGGGACTGCTGGCTCTTGGTAACGTGATAAGTGCACTTGGCGATGAGAAGAAGCGGAAAGAAGGAGGCCATGTTCCATACAGGGATAGCAAGTTAACAAGACTGTTACAGGCATGGAAGCATTTTGTCTCTTCACATTTAAACACTCAGTAGATTATATTGGAATGTCTTGATTGAAAAGTATCTATAGCTATCGATTTGTTTTTTAAACTAATTGTTCTTATACTTTTCTGCCTAGTCACAATTGCCACTTTAATATTTATGAGTAGCCAACAAGATTTGTCTCCACTATCCATTATGCTGCCAGTGGACTACATGCAGGAAACACTAGAACTAGAATACATACAAGCTTCTCCTTGATGGAAAGTGTTATCCTAATGCTGGTCCTGTAAAATGAATTAGTCCATATGTCTTACACATCATGAAACATACCAAATTGAAGAGGAACATGCAAGCAAAGTGGTAATTTACTGAAGAACATAGATGAAAATATAGATAGAGGGAGTTTTATGCTTACTGCAACCTCTCCTGCTGGTTTTCCAAAGTTTGCATGATTTTCAGTTGAGGAATGCTATTTTTTTTTTTTATAATTTTTTTTTTGGGAGGGGAAAGGGAAAGGGAAAGGTGACTTGAACTCTTGATCTCAAGAAGGGAAAACTTTTATAAGATAAGGAGTACCATTAGACCAAAGAATCTAATTTGTTGGCCCAATTCATTATAGTCATTGGATTGATTGTGAGCCTCATCAAACATTGGAACGTAGTATTGATCCAACAGTTACAATGAAGTCACATCATTAAGCTAACAGATTAGGTCAGATTTTTAGGTTCCCATAATATTACTTTTTAAATTTTGTTTGCATGTTTATTCCGGTACAAATTATTTTGCTGTAGAAGTTTTATTGCTACTGACCATACTCTTGTTGACAGTTCACAACACAAACTTTTCATAACTATGCAAAGGATGAATTTGGTGATCATATATTTATGTGTTCTCTCTGTGCATGGCCAAATTGCTCTTAGACATGTATACACCAGGACCAGAATTATGGAATATGGAGAGTTCTTGGTAAGCATGTGAAGGAATCTCCACCGTTGGCCTTTGTAATTCCAAAATGATAGTAGAGCTCGTGCAATAGATGTAGTGATTGTTATATGATTTAGCAATCGTTATGCGCTGTAATCATCCATTTAGCGCTAGCATATGTTGAATTAGATAAAAACCTATGTTACACTCTCACACAGTTCAAGCTTTTAGATGAGATGGACGCTTTAAAATGTTATTAGAGCTAGGTTACGAGAGGGTTTGTGCAAGATTCTCTATTAATTGTGTTTGATCTCCGTTGATTGTGTCATAAGTGCAATTTTTATGTTTTGGATCTACTATGTATGTATACACATGTGAGCAGGGGAACTTGC